TCTCCTGCACTCCCCCAGGTGCTGCAGAGCCCTGCCATTTGCACTCAGGAGATCACCTGTGGAGGATGCTGTGCACACGCTGGCTGTCCCTTCCACACTGTGGGAGAAGAAGGTTTGTGTCTACCTTGGTGGCTGGAGACTGGGAAAGGCACAGCCTGCTGGAGCACTGAAGCCTTAGCAGGAATGGCCTGCTCTATCCCAAATGCTGGTGGTACCGCTTCCCATGCCTGGTCAGATTTAAGGTTTTGCTGAACACAACACGGTCACCCTGATGGGAAGGCACCCAACACTTGTCCCGGTGCAGGTGGGGCCAGCACAGCACTCCGCCATCACCTCCTCCTGTTGCCTTTCAAGCCCAGAAAACATCTTCCCTTTCTACCAAATAATCCCAATGCATTAAAGGGTATAACGCATATTTAAGTATGCATTTAACTGTCAGGTTAATGAACTGCATGTGAGCTCTCTTTTTCCCAAAGCAACAGAAAAGGCACCTTAAAACCCAGCACTCCTACGCACAGAAGAGAGCCACTGGGCTCCTGCAAGGCTGCAACTGAGCGCACGCAGGCAGCAGCACAGGGTGGGCACCCCAGGCCTGGGCTTTGCTTCCAGCTGCCTCCTGCTCTGACACCTGCCCGACTCAAAGCACATCCAAGGGAGGCACTCAGCCGAGACGTGCGGCTGGCCACCCGCTCCTGCTGCAGATTAGCCTTGTCATTGTGTTTATGAGAGTAAGAGGATCTTTCGCCGCTGCAATGTTTTTCCATTAGCCATTACAAGGAGATGCTGCTGCAGGGAACAAGGAAAAGGCTTCCCCTGTGCATGACTGAGCCACAGAGGCCAAATCAGAGGGACAGGTTGTGCCCAGGGTAATTCCTACCTTGATTTCCGTGTCAGGACTTGATGAGGCACGTAACAAAAAGGCCTCTCCTTCCCTGCAGAGCCCACCCCGTGTCCACAGATGCCGCCTGGGTCTCACTCCCCAGCTCCCAGCTCCATGCACATGCCCTGGTCTGCCTGTGGCTGCACCCTGAGGGGCGGTGGGAGCCTCTATGCAGGCAGCAGCCAAATGCAGAGCTGAGCTCGGGTCTTTGCAGGCTTCCTCTGACACGCAGGGCTGCACGGAGCAGCGTGCTGCAGTGCCTGCATGAGCCCAGAGACCCAGCAGCGTGCATGCATCCCACATCCTCATCGCAGACACCTTCCCAGGCATGTTCTGCACATCCTGCCCCAGGGAGGGGGTTTTGCTTCCATCACCAATGAGAAGCCACAGCTCAGTGAAAATTACATCTCTTTTCTAAAGGAAGTTCCCAGATTTATGCTAATGCCCGAGTGCTTCTGAGCCATCAGGTGACTGGCAACGCATCAAATCACATTTTGCTTTAAAATACATGAATCCAAAATGGAAACAGTGACAGATTTGGCATCCGGCAGCCTGGGGGGAGAAATGCCCCATCCGGGCATTCGCAACAATGGATTGCATCTAAAACAGGTCTGTGTTTGGTCCTGACCACTAATGCTCTGTTCAATCGCATGAAAAAGAAAAAGCCCTTTTTAATTCTGAAAAGGAAAACAGTTTAATCATTGTAAGAAACTATACCTTCAGGGTATCGCTCCAAAATACAGGCGGAGATTAGGAGGGATTTGTGAGATGGTGTTTATTCCCAACTTAGGTGCTTTCCATAAATTAATTATAAAAGCGGGCCCAAGCCAGCCAGGAGTGCGCTGGGAAATTCTCAGAGTGTTCGTCATTTCCATGCACTAATATTCATGCCATCTGCCTGCTGCTCTCTCTTTGCTCCATTGTCAGCAGCAGCTTGTTTCCTGCGCTGCATCGAGTCCCTCTCCCCAGCCCTGCCGCAGGTAACTGGCCCTGGCACACGGATGGATTCTTACCGATGGAGGAGAGGATTCTCTCTGCTGAGTGCCAGGGGTCAGGAAGGCAGCAGGGAATGCTCAGACAGGGACTGGATGGGGCTTACAGGGCAGGTGAAGCCCAGCCTTGGCCTGGTGAGGAGGTGGTGTGCTCCCCTGTGCTGCAATATGGGCATCCTGATCCCGGGGAGCCAGGAGGTGTTTGGTGAGTGGACCACCACCAGAGATGATGACGGTGTCAGGAAGGAGCAACAGCGCAAAGAGCTCTTTCTCCCAGCTCACCCCAGTGGGCTCTCACCCCGTGCCTCACCCCGCTGTCCCTACAAGGCCTGCAGCACCCCGGGGAGCTCTGCAAAGCCCTCAACCTACCTGGCAGCCAAAGGACAAAGGGTCAGCAGTGCCAGAGGCAGCTGCATAGCAAATTAACCCACAGGCTTTGATTTTCTGGCCCTTCTCGCAGCCCCACTTCTCACAGCCACCATGTCAAGCGGAGCAGTCCTCGTGACCCTTCTCCTGCTCACTGATCACAGAGCAAGCTGCTGGCATCCCGAGCTCATGCTGCTTTGCTACCCGAGAAGGTGGATGGTGCAGCCCTGTAAGAAACAGCTCTGGTCCTACAGTGAGGCAGAATGGAGCAAGACCACGTGTCCTGCTGCCGGTGGGCTGTGCTGTGCAGTCCTCGCCAGCACAGCTGAGGAAAGGAGTTGGCATCCACCCCTCTCTCTCATTTTACCTCTCAGAAAGGTTTTGCTTCAGAGCCTTCCTGAGGTGCAGCTGTCAGCAGGTTTGACCAACACAGAACTGGCAGTGAGAGTGGAATGCACCCATCAGGTGCCCAGGTGCAGGCAGGACGTCGGCTCCGGCAGGTGTGTACATGCACACACACCTGTGTGCAATACTGCTGTAAAAACAGGAAGAAGAGATTGGGAACCTGTGTCCAGGTTGTCCCATGGGACAGGAATAATGACACATTAGGCTGAATGGCATCCGGGTAAAACCAAGGAGAAAAAGGGTTCCTGCACTGCTTATGGCCGTGGTGCATCCTTCAGCAGGCAGCAGGTGGATCACACAGAGAGCCAAGGTGCTGGGCTGTGCAGGATGGGCTGGTGGGCAGTGCTGGTGGGACACAGCAGTGGGAGCCACACTGGGCTGCAGTGCCCTGCAGAGCTCTCCTGAGGGATGTGCACAGAACTGCATCCTATGCATGCTGCACTGTGCATCCTGGGCAGGACAGCCGGACCCAGCAGCATTTCAGCAGCAAACCTCTATGTGTTTGCAGTTAAATGGCAAAAAGCCATTTCCAGAACTCTTCCATTTACTGCCTTTATAGTTTTGCATATATACGTGAAACTTTTCATTCTATATATATTTATATATATATATTTTTTAAATCTATAAATCTACATGTTTTCAAATAAATGCGGTTTCGTGTTAAAAATGACCTGGCCAAAATTTTGTTACTTGCAGTAGCTGCCCACAGCACCCCAAAGCAGCCATGCACCACTTCCAGCAGCGGGATAGAGCAGCCAGAGGGGAAAGGGAAAGGATCCAGCACCCTGCTGCAGCAGCAGTGCAGGGATATGCTGGACAGCACACACTGCTGACATGAATTCTCACCTGATAAGAGAGGGAGATGTCAGTGCTAATGATAACTCAGCTCCACACGGCACAATGAAATTTCAAGCAATTATGAAAAAGTACAATGGCCTCTGCTGGCCTAATCTGACAGCATGCTGACGGCAGGAGCAGGCGTGCATCATGATAAAGGAAAATCCCACCGGCGGAATACAGACTTGTTAGATAAGCTGATAGCTCACACAGCACAGATGATTTGTGCCAGAGAAAAGCACTGCGAGTCCCTGCTCTCTGGGTTTACTACAAAACAGCCATTGAGATCAGACAGCTGCACACTCCGGCTCTCTCCAGCTCTCTCGCTAAGCCTCCATCAGGCAGTGACAGCCCATATCTCCAACGTGGTGATGGAGGGCAGAAGCCCCGCCAGCGGCAGCAATCCTCCTCCACGCAGGCAGCAGGCAGCGGGTCAGCCCTGCTGTGCAGGCCATGTGTCAGACTGGTGTGTCCTGAGTCCTTCAGGCGTCTGGGCAGGAGGAGTAGGAGATGAATGCTGCAGGTGGAGCCGTCTGTTCTGCTCAGCCAATAATTCCAGTCCTGCTGTGAGCTGGGTGTGCTGTGCTAGGAGACACAGGTACTGGCTGGATCCACCCCACAGCCCCGCTGTGCCTCCTGTATCACAGAGCTGTGCTTGCACGCAGCCTCGGGAACTGGAAGTGAGGGAGATGCAGGCCCAGCAGGCAGCCTGGGTGTGGGGAGGGCTGGATGAGAGCAGCAAAGTGGCGCAGGGATGCACCCAGGGCCACCCACCTAACGCTGGTGACAGAGCATCCTGCTGCACCAGGCAGTGCTGTTCGGTGGTGGTGCTGGGTGGTACTGCACACTGTGCAGCAGTTCCAGGAGTCCCTCCTGCGTGGAGGACATCATCACTATCAACGCAGGGCCAAAGACAGAGCTCAGTGCTGCAGTGGGCAGCTGCTGGTGGCAGCCCCCGAGCTTCCAGAGAGGACACTCGGGCTCGTGGAGGCAGCATGGGATTTGAGGAGAGCCTAAGGGAGCCCAGGGACTTGTACAGATAGACACGTGTGAGTGTGTGCCTGCATGCCTACTCTGTTCTTCCACCTGCTTGCCCTGCTCACCAAGCCATGTGCAGCACAGATCTGCCACAACTCCTGCAGCCGGGCAGCTCCCTGCGCAGCCTCTCCGTGTGCTCATCGCAGGCAGCCCGGCTTTGCAGTGTGACCTTCGTGATGTGATGGTGTGATGGCGGGTCGGAGAGCTCCTAAGAGTTACCTCTGCTCCTCCCCACGGGCTGCGCAATCGATCGGGAGCAGAGACCAGACGTGCACGTGCACAACGAGCACGCCGCAGAAACAGAACCTCTGACATTTCTGCCATCCCGGGGATTCTTTCAGGGTTTGTTTTCCACGGGAAAGTTCCAGCCACGGCCTTCTTAACCAAACTCAGCGAGCGCTCCCACGTCCCGCATCGCCGAAGGGAGGAGCCCGTCCGTTCAGCCGCTCGCACCGCCGCTCGCTGCCGGGCTCCCCGCGGGCCGTGCGGTGGCGCTGCGGGGCGCTGCGGGGCGGCCATGCGCCGGGCCATGGCGGTGTTCGTGACGCGGCGGATCCCGGCCGAGGGAATGCGGGTCCTCTCGGAGGCGGCGGGGTGAGCGCCGGGCCGGGCCGGGCCGGGGGGGGGGAAGAATGCTGGATGCTGGATGGAGTCCGGCCCCGCTGACGGCCGCGTCCCGCAGGTGCCGCTTGCAGCAGTGGGACTCGGAGGAGCCCGTCCCGCGGCGCGAGCTGCTGGCGGGGGTTGCGGGCAAGCAGGGGCTGCTGTGCCTCCTGTCCGACCGCATCGACGCCGAGGTGCTGGACGCCGCCGGTGGGTGCGCGGCCCCGGGCCGGGGCTGGGCGGGGGGAGTCGGTGCGGAGCTGACGGAGGGGTGGGCGGCGGTGTTTTGCAGGGCCGAGCCTGAAAGTCATCAGCACCATGTCCGTGGGGTTCGACCACCTCGCCCTGGACGAGATCAAGAAGCGGTAACCTCGGTGCCGTGCGGCCGCGTCGGGTGCGCGCGGCTTCGTCACTGCGCCGAGAGCTGCGGCTGTCCGGTCGGGAAGGGAGGGCGGGGGGCTGCGGTCCAACCCCTGCGCCCCAAAGCTCGGAGGCCAAAGGGGGTTGTGCTGGAGTGAGGCCCCAGCTAGAAGGGCTCGGGAGGGATGTCCCCCCGTGGCTGCATACGCTCCTGTGGGGGGTAGAGGGGGGGATGTTCCCAGAAGCACAGAGGTTGCGTGCTAGGGTCGGCAGCGTTGACGTCGGGGAGCTGAGCCCGTTGCTTTGCTTGCAGGGGGATCCGGGTGGGTTACACCCCTGACGTCCTGACCGATGCCACCGCTGAGCTCTCCGTGGCTCTGCTCCTCGCCACGTGCCGGCGGCTGCCCGAGGCTGTCGCAGAGGTGAAGACGTGAGTATATGCGGCTGTGTGCCGGATCTGGGGCTGCAGAGGGTCGGGCACTGCGGGAGAATTCACCTGAAGCCTGACAAATGACATGGGGCTGAAGCTGGAGTTCCACCAGGATGGCACTGAAAATCGTGCAGGGTAACAGTCCACAGCAGTGCTGTGTTCAAGGGCTGCTAAAGGGACAGAAGCCTTCTCCCAGCACCTCTGTGCATATGCTGTAGGTAGATAGATGATCAGTGGTTGAGAGCACCCTGAGGCTGCTGCTGCACACTTGCAGTTAGAGCAGACTCTTGCAGAGCACAGGGTTGGCTTGAAGCAGGGTGCACATCACCTGCCAGTGGCAAAGGAGTTCACCTTCTGCACTGTTGTGGTTCATGGTTTTCTTGCCCAAGTCCTGGGTTTTGAGGCAGGTCTTCCCCTGTTGCTTTATTAAGATCGGTTTCCTTCTCACTCTCTCCACTAGTGGTGGCTGGACAACCTGGAAGCCCTTGTGGATGTGTGGCTATGGACTGTCTGGAAGTACGGTGGGCATCATAGGTCTGGGAAGAATAGGTAAGTGTGTGTCCTGCACCAGGTGTGTGCCCTTGCTGACGGCAGGCTGCTTCCAGAGTTTCAGCCAAGGTTTGTCCCCTGTGCTCACTTATGTGGAATCTATTAGAACAGCAAGGAAGGCTTGGTGGAGCCACTCTGAGCAGCTCTTGATCTGTCAGGCATAACCCTTAAAACTTTTTACTCATTCACATCATCCACCGTACCCAAATGCTTCAGCAAACTGGACATTGGCCTCTTGGTTTTCAGTTAAGCAAACAGAAAGCTTGACAAAGTGCAGGACCGTCTGCTTGGCACTCATTCAGCTGTTGACTTTGTCAGCAGATTGCTCTTTCTTTCCTCACGTTTTGGCTGACTGCCTAAAGTGGCTTCAGGTTTGATATCCCAAGGCTGAGCATTCGTTCCCTTGAGGAGCTGCAGAAGGCAACCACCCCACACACAGCACGTACCACACAATGCAGCCTCACAGGAGCAGTCCTGACTAGGCACACTGCAGAGGCCCTTGGGCAAGATTTATGTTCCATGAGCTGCTTGGCTTGCAGCTAAACCACCTGCATGCTGAAAGGTGCACAGCATCTTCTTTCTCATTTCTAGGGCAGGCAGTTGCCCGCCGTCTGAAGCCATTCGGGGTCAAGAACTTTTTGTACACTGGAAGTCAGCCGAAACCAGAGAATGCTGCAGAGTTTCAAGCTGAGTTTGGTAAGAAAAATGAATGAAACGAACAGTCCTCAACTGCAGGGCAGGAAGCAGCATGTCTGATATAGCCTGGAGATGCCACCTGGAGCACGTGAGTCACAAGGAATGTCAGTGCTCAGCAGAGTACTCAGTATATCTGGGCTAATTTTTCAGTCCAAAGTTTGTATTCTTGTTGCATGGTCGTTGCTAGACCTTCTTCTGCTCCTTGTGTTTTCCGCTGCTCAGAGGAAGCTGTTGTCCTCTGGCACAAGAGTGGAAGCATGTACTGTAGAAAGAGATTTAATGTTGGTATAAACTGTCATGGCAGTACTTCGTTGTGTGAACATGAAAAACAGTCTGAGCCCCCCTTTGGGACAGACGTCTGAAGCGTTGTTAGATTTCGTTTTGGATAAATTCTGATGTGAAAACAAAGCACTGTAATTGTGCCTGTAGCAGCATCTCTGTGCAGTTCATTTCATGTCTGCCTGGCCTTGTGTCTCTCCATTTGTAGAAAAAGGTTGGCACAGCCTTTGCAGGGCAGCACTCTCTCTCTGGTGCTCCTTATATGTTAGAAGGGCTGCAGGGGCATCCTGGTGATGCCTGTGAGCAGAGCTGTGACCTGTGTTTCTCCTCCCAGTCCCACTCACAAAGCTGGCCCAGGAGTCGGACTTCATCGTCGTGACATGTGCTTTGACTCCCAACACCCAGGGAATGTGCGACAAGAATTTCTTCAGCAGGATGAAGAAGACCTCTGTGTTCATCAACACGAGCAGGTGACAGCAGTCTTGCAGCACCCTGCTTGTGGCTGCGGTGGCTGAGCCAGCTGTGAGATGCACTTTGTGAGCCCAGGCAGTGTGTGCAGTCAGCGTGCTGCAGCCAGAAGGGCCATTTGCCCACCCTGCAGCCCACCCCCTCCATTGTGTGGGCTCCTGGGATCCAGACAGAGTCGGGACGAGGGTGCTGTGCCTGCCCAGGGCCCTGTGTCCAGCCCCAGTGGGATGGATGTGCAGATGACTGCAAGGACTTGCTTGACCATGTGGGAGCTGTACAAGCCCATCTCCCTCTTTTTTTCCAGAGGAGCTGTGGTGAACCAGGAAGATTTGTATGATGCATTAGTCAGTGGTCAAATTGCAGCTGCAGGCCTGGATGTCACAACGCCGGAGCCACTGCCCACTGACCACCCTCTGCTCAAACTCAGGAACTGTGGTAAGTGGTGTGTTTGGCCACCCTGGTCCCTGCCCTGCCTCCTCCTGCTTGGAGAGACAGCTCCGCTGGCTGATTTCCTTGGGGGCTTGAAGATGGTGAACAAGAGCTTCAGTGTTTGTGGCAAAAAGGAAAATCATGTATTTAAGGAGCTTCTAGGTAACCGTTGTGCAGCGTGGAGAGCTGTTAAAGACCTTAACAATGCAATCTAAAATAACCTTGGGAGGTATTTCAGTAGTCCAGAAAGCAATTGAGATTGGCGTGTCTTTTAACCTTTTACAAATGGATCTGCATTCCATAAGCTGGGCTGAGATTCATAGAGGAATTTAATATGAGCAGGTGCTGCTCTCAGTTACAGGCAAGGCAGACCTAGGGGCAGAAAACAGGCAGAAATGGAACAGAGAGGAAACAATGGTTTCTAAGCAAAGAGAAACTCTGGTTGTTTGCAGCTTTGTTGCTGTTAGCGTGGCAGGGTGCTTGTTTCTACCTTGCTTCACCCAGGCAACCTGCTCTGCTCTGAGCCAATGGACAACATCCTGTTGTGCACCTGAGTGCTTGGTTTGATCATGCTGCAGCCTAAACCTGAAACCTTGTGTGTATGCCTTCATCTGAAGGACCAGTATTCTACGTGAGGGTTCAGAAGGCAGCACCATGCCTCTGCCAAGGGAGGACGTTTTTGGATGAGGAAAAATCTCATCCAAACAAATTGTTGGGAGGTCAGGATGAAAATATGGACGTGCCCATGTCCGGATGTCCATTTCTGAAATAGTAGAATCGTACAATCATCAAGGTTGGAAAAGACCACTAAGATTACCACGTCCAACCATCAACCCATCCCCACCAAACCACATCACTCAGTCCCATGTCTCCATTTTGAACGCTTGCAGGGAAGGTGACTCTACCACCTCCCTCAGCAACCTGTTTCATTAATTTCTGAGAAGTTTGTCCTAGTATCCAACCTGAACTTCCCTTGGCACAACTTGAAGCCACCACCCCTCGTCTTGTCACTGTCACCTGGGGGCAGAGGCCAATTCCCACCTCCCACACTCAGCAGTGTGTCAGGTATTTGTGTTTCTACACTCCCTGGCTGTAGAAGTGCTGCCTGTTATAAAATGGACAGAGACTGCAGCAAACCCATTCATTGCTAATGTTCTAATCACGTGCCATTAAAGCAGCTTTGGCATGTTTCTTACCATTACCTAAAAGGAGTAGGTTGTGTTTTGCTGGTGACAGAGCAGTGGCACAGGTTGCCCAGAGGAGTTGTGGAGATCTCCATCCTCAGAGATCACCAGAAGCTGCCTGGATGTGGGTCTGGACAGCCCACCCTGGGTGTCTGTGCTGGAGCAGGGGTTGGGACAGATGGCCCAGAGGTCCCTGCTGCTCTCACCCATCCTGTGTTTTTGTCACACAGCTTTTTTCTGTCCCTGAGCTTTGTCACATAGGTGGATAAAAATCCCTGCCCCGACTGTGCCAGCTCCATCAAGGCAGCTAGCTGATGGAGGACCCTCTGCTTGCACACCCCTGGGGCAATGAGGGTGAGGGCTGTGAGCGTGAGGCCACGCCGTGACCCTTTCTTTGCCCACAGTGATCCTGCCACACATCGGGAGTGCCACCTATGCCACTCGGAGCACCATGGCAGTGCTGGCTGCTGACAACCTGCTGGCTGGCCTGCGAGGCGAGCCCATGCCCCACGAGCTGCTGCTGTGAGGGCTGGGCCTGCATCGCCATCGGGTCGCCATGACTGGGGGGAGCAGGCAGGTGGGTCCTGTGCCCCTGCTCTGCAACTGAGGAGTCAACAGCATCCACAGCAAGAGAGCTGCACTGTAGCTATTAAAGAGAAGCGGTGACAGCGGTGTGTGGCTTTCTCTTGGGAAAGACAGGCCTCCAGGCATTGGCGTCACGAGTGCTTGTACGTGGGGAAGGTGAATGCTGGTGCTTCGGCTGAGCGTGAGATGGCTCCTCAGCTCTGTACTGGAGCTCTCGGCTCTCATCCAGAATCACAGCATCATGGAATTGTTGAGGTTGGAAAAGACCCTAAGATCTCCAAGTCAAACCCAGCCCACCCTCACCGTGCCACTGACCGCGTCCCTCAGTGCCACATCTGCACATCTACACGTGTTTCTTGAACACATCCCAGGGCAGTGACCCCACCACCTCCCTGGGCAGCCATTGTCAGCGCTTGATCACTTTGTCTGAGAAGTTTTTCCTAAGAGCATCCAACCTGACCCTTCCCTGGCACAGCTTGAGGCCATCACCTCATCCCATCACTGTTAAGAGGCCAACCCCCACCTCACCACAATCTCCTTGCAGGTGGTTGTAGGGAGCAGTGTTTCTCCAGAGCCTCCTCCAGGAGGGGGAAGTTCTGCCCTCTGTAATTCCTGCCTCAGTTTTTGCCCACGCCTGCGATGGCATGTGTTAGTGCAAAAGAAGAAGTGGGCAGGTCCCAAGTCTCAGGAGAAGCACTGATGAGCACATTTCAGGGATCTCTGCTGTAATCTGTTTCACCCATACACGAGGGCTGGAGTGCTGCTCTCCTGCCCTCAGCAGCACCCTGCCCGAGCTGTGAATTGGTGCTTGAGGAAGTGTACCAAAATGGTGTCTGAGACATTGTGTGGCACTGGAAGGAAGATTTCAACATGCATTTGAGAACAGTCTATTGGAAATCTTTCTCTGAAGGTACGTGTGCTGGGTGTGCACAGGGGCATTCCTCCTTTGCCAGCTGCCACACAGCTGCAGTGCACAGGGCTGTGTGGCAGGCAGCATGCTTTCCAGTGTGCCCAGCAGGTGTTAAACTGCTTTAGAGAGCCTTGAAAGAAGGGCATAAGTGACTCACAGGTGCTGCTGGCACTCCAGAAAGGGTGGGAGAGCTGTTCTGCATCCTTTTCCATGAGCTCTGTTTGTCAGTGAGCGCTCTTGCCTTGCTGCTTGGCTTCAGGGCAGCCAGATGCTGATAGAGCTGAGCTATGCAAGACTCAGCATTTTTGAAGCCCCTAGTTCTTCCAGGGAAATGGGAGTATACAAAACCTCGCTTTAAATGCCTGTATGACAAACTCGGTTTGTGGCCAAGGAGGAGAGGAGTGCTGCAGTTTAACCCCAGCTGTCAGCTGTCTGCCACCCAGCTGCACACCCACTGCCCCAGGAGGGTTGGGGAGAGCATTGCGAAAGGAAAAAGCCATGAGCACAAGCAGATTAAGACAGTGTGAGACTGTGGGTTCTGCAGTTGGACACTCAGCCAGAATTATGGTGTCACAGAATCGTTACTGTAGGAATAGACCTCTAAGATCAAAAAGTGCATTCCCTGCATGCAGCCACCTGGTTACTGGGTGCAAAGTGCTGGGGGCCACCAGAGGTTGGTCCTGCCCCAGCTCCCAGTGAGTGCTCACAGCTGGCCATCTCTGTGACCACGTCTTCATCTTCCCCATCTGTGACACACATATGAGGATGAGAGCAGCTCTGCTTGAATTCTTTTCTTGTACCCATTCACCTGTGCTACTCATCTCCTTTCTTCCCTGGCCAGTACCCATCAAAGTCTAGCAGCACACTGACCAGGATCTTCTAGATAGCCCATACAGGCAGGTTTCAGTGTTTAACACTTTGCTGTGGGTGTTTGGTGTTACACAGCACTTTGGCTACGCTGAAGTTGCTGTGCACACACTGCACGATGATGGTGATGACAGTGGGATCTCAGTGCCCATTGCCCGCCTCCAGGTGCTGCCCATCACCACCAGCCTCACCAGGCAGATGGGGCAGCTCGAGCTGTGGCTGCCAGCTCTTGGCTCTCTGCTCAGAGCTTACACTGCAGGCAGCAGCACAGCAGGGTCCCCATCCTCATGCCACCCTCACGCCACCCTCCAGCCAGCTCCAGGCCTCAGCCGTGCACCCACAGATTGCCCAGAGACAGTCCTGCTCCTGGGACTGGGATGGGAATGAACCATAATGTGCTCAACTGCTTAATTGACTCTCTGTTACTGCTCAGCACTGGGACGTTTTTGGTGAGTGTGAATGAAAGCGCTCGAGTCTGTAGCTCCAAGCCAAGCAGGAACTGTTTTCTACAGCCCCCACTCTGCACAGCAATCCCAAATCCCTGAGAATGAGATGGGAGGGAATGCTGCAGGGTGCTGAGCTAAAAGCAAAGCAATCCAAAACCAAAGAGAGACGCCTGTGCTTGGGAGTTCTGCTGAGCTCTCCTTGTGTGCACTGTGCTGCCATTCTGTCCCTTGGAAGGTGTTCTCCAGGCCGAATTCTGTGCTTCGTTTTCTCTTGATGCTCAATGAGCCATACTCTGATTGTAATGAAAGTTATTGGAAGCTGTTTGTTAATTAGTTATCAGTGCTGGTGAGTTGCAGAAAGACCTGTGCTTCATGCCCAGTATTCGATGCATTTGTCACGTTAGCAAGCAAAGCGAATGAGACTCTGTAACACCAATGTAGCATGAAGATGCAGGCGTTCCTTCTTGTAGCTCCAGGTGCATGGGTGATTGCTCCACCTAATGAGCGTGCCCAGGAGCTAGGGCACACATTATATACATCCAGCATGTGTGAATTTTCGTACGATTCTCTCCAGGTGTCCCCCTATTCCTAGAACTGCTGTACAGATTAAATACTGTGTGTGTGTGTGCTGTGTTAAAACAGGGCTCTTGCAAGGGGGGCCTTTTTGGTGGTCCTAAGTTCCATGGGGAGATGCAAAAGGTCGTGCATTAAGTGGGTCAGGCCCCATATTTGATCAAGAAATTATGTACAAAAGATCAGTGCTTGACTAATTATCACGTTGACCTCGTTAGAGTGCCTATATTGTCAACCCCAGGGGGTAGGGAGGCCTTTGCCCAAACCTCTGCCTGACAGAGAATTGTTTGCAGCTATTGGAAAACAGAAAGAAAAGATTTCTGGGCACTTCGGTGGGTGGAAACTTCCTAGAAATTATTGGGATTTACTCGAATGCTGAAAACCTTTGCTGTGTCAGATGAAAAAGGGTCTGTGAGTTTGTTGGCCTGCATGAATGCTTCTGTGCAGTTACTGCCATACTTCAGGATGCTGACAGAGTTATCCAAAGCTTAGCATGACCCCTCAGGAGACGAGGAACAGTTCAGTGCAAGAGAGCTGCTGTACAGACCCCAGCACCAATTCCCCACGTGTGCCAAGGAGCACTCACAGAGCTGCAGAGGAGACTGCCTGAGCAGGAGAAGCATTTTTCAGGTGTTGTGCCATGGGATCTCCTCAAAAGCAGCACTTTCTGCAGCTGTATATCATTTTGCTCTGGCAGCCATGCAAACTGTCACTCTGTCCTTTTAATAAAAATATTTTCTTTCTAAAAATGCTTCCAAGCTGCCAGTTAGAAAATGTTATCCCTGTCCTATACCCGTCTGAATCCCCCGGACAAGTATGAGCACAACTGGCCAGAGGTGAACTTGAAAAAAAAAAGTCAGGTTTTGCCTGCATTTAACTGGAAAGCAGCAGCACCTTCCAGCAAATCCTCCTACAGCTCTGCTGTGCTACTGTGGAAGAGCCCTCCCAACCTCCTCTGGGACAAAGCTGAGGTTTTCCCCAGTGCTTCACAAGGTGATGATGTTCCCTGGCCCTCCTCAGCAGTACATTCCCTTTGCCCATCAAACCTAAAGCTCACCCCAGCCAGCTTGCTGCCCAGAATGCTCTTGCCCCTCAGCTGCATTCTATCCAATCTCAACATGCCCATGGGCTGAAGTGTAAGCAACAGACTGGTGGAACAGATGAAGTGATCTCAAGGCACCCTGTGGAACTGATGGAGGTAAGGCACTCAGCTACACGCCAGCACTGCAGGGGCTGCCAGCAGAGAAAAGCGTGCTAGCATGGTGAGCTCTAGCCTGGACTTTTTTTTTTTAATGCATTATGAAGGAATAAATGAGAATACTCAAAAATAGACTGCTGTTATGTTTTATTTAAATCTGTTTAACTACACTGGCTGTCTACTCGAAACGTGAATTGTGTATCACACAACAGCTCCTCAGCATCGATAGATTTCGTAACGCAGGCTGCCACGCCAGCCTTCAGTCTTGCAGGCTCAAATACCTCAGCTGCCTCCTGCTGTAAGTCGGGAAGGTCATGGATGGGCATTCGAATGCTGCTACCAAAAATAATCTTGCTGTTACCCAACCACTTATTTTTGGTCCGTTGCCAAGAGGGGACTGCACCAGGGATATGATCCAGCTGAAAATAATGCGAAACATTTCTATGGGAAAGTGGGGATACTTGCAGAATCCCAAAGCTTTCAAGTGGTCCCTTTGCCAACTTCTATTTGAGGAAGGAGATCCAGGCAACACATCCCCCCACCCTCGATGCTGTGGCAGGCGCAAGGAGCCCTGGAAGCACACTGGCTGGTAGTAAAGCACCTAAAACAAGTCGCAGGCAGCATCCCTAATATTACCTCCAGAGCACAGAGGCAGGCAGAAGACAACCCAGCACGCAGCAGCTTTGAGCAGTGCAGCCATGTGAGCCGGGGGGAGCAGCTCACAATGAATGGATGGGAGACCACCACCCTGCAGGAGCCCTGCTGGCTCAAGTACTGCCCCATTCCTTGTCGATTAAATACATGCCCTCTCAAATGGCAAATGCAGGCCTGCTGTGAGCAGAGCTATGCACTGTGCCTCGTCTGACAAGAATGCCTGTCTGCCTGCATTCTGATTCTGCACTGCTACGTTTTGCAGTAAGAACCCAACCTGCTAACACACGAATGTCGTTTTGTCAACCCATTGGAAAATGCACCTGGATAACAAGTTAAGCAGGCAGAACACAGCAGCACAGAAATGATTTTTGGAGGTTTCACAGTGCTAAGATGCTGACATCTTCAGGCAGGACCTCACTGCAGCGTTTGGAAAGTTTTGAACAATGGACAGGGTGATACCTGGCCATTTTATCAGGCGTGGAGGTGAGAAGCTCCTCATTCTGCAGTTTGGGATAGCAAAGTGGAGCTGTCGTTCTGAGATACTGCTGCATACTGGAAGACAGGGAGAGCAGCAAGCCAGCTGCAATCCTGCAGTGTGCTCCTCCAGAAGCACTGGGTGGGGATGACGAAACAAAATTCAAGGTTGCTACTTTCAAGGATGCTCCAAATATGATCCTTTATTTAAGAAAGGAGTCCTTCCACACAAGGTCTGATATCTCACAGCATGAAAGTTTATTATTAAAAAATAGACAAGATGTACAGTTTAATATGTTTACCTGCTCAACATTAGCTCCTAATTAACCTCCTTACTCACACAGCTTCTTTACTCCTATCTGCTGTAGGATTCCAGAAGCACTGTAGGAAACAGTGAAAAAAATAATAGAAAAATCCCCAACAAACTGGTAGAAATGCAAGGAGGATAAATAATCAGCCAGAATGCTACTGATAAGGCGCGACAAGAAGAAAACATTAAGGTACAAAATTCTACATTTTATTGATGTTTCAGTGAGATTGGTTAGCATACCTCAGTGCTTTTGGTCCCTTTATACCAAAATGATTATCAAGCTACACGTGGCACATCCTACTGCTTTTTAAAGATGTGGCACATTTCTGCACATCCTTAAAAATCACGAGCTAGGAATATAGCCACTAAGTAAGGGAGTTAAGCCAATCACTCATGGTGTTTCCATGCCCCTCCTCACCTTGGCTGCTCAAGGTGCCAATGACACACGGACAGACATTTGGCATTTGAATCCTCTTCTCAACGTGGAGAGGTGTCCCCACACATTCCCCCTTTAGCTCACTGCTGTTGCACATATAAACCAAATACAGAATGCTTCCTGTGTTTCCTTTGGTCTGACAATGTCTGGTTTGGAAGCCTCAATGATGTTCATAACTCATCCTCTTAAATGACTGTCGGGACTCTGGATGAGGATTTTATTTTGTTTACTCTAAAGGAAATCCAAAATGTTTAAGATTATTCGCTACGGAGCACAAACTCCTTAAAACTGCTGAGTACCATAATAGAGGATACATTTACTACTCACAGAATTTAAAAAGAAGAAAGGAAAAAGAGAAAGCTTGCAAATACATTTATATTAATAGGAATAATCAGTTGCTCTGTGACTTCAATGTCAGGAAACGTTAAACATCTGTGTCTCCTGAACAGAATGATGTGCTGAAGCCCTGACCCAGCTCCTTCATGGTAGAACAACATTTATCAGCAGAAGTGCTCCAAAACATCTTGCAGAAACCCAGGACGTGAAAGCTGGTGGTTCATGTGCACCCTTAGCAAAGAAAAGAGACTGCAAATGCTCTTAGTTACAAAGGCATCAAAGGGGAGAAAGTTGTAACACGACTTATGTGGTTCTCTTGAAGAATAAAGGTCACTGAGTTTCTGCTTCACAAAGTGTACAGTGCTATTTTCTTAAATTAAATGTATGCTAGGTTTTTTTTTTATTTTTGTTGAAAAGAACATTTATGACACTACTTCAAACAGAAAGACTGGATTTGATAGCTACACTTCGCAGAGAGATGTAAGTAAACATGGAAAACGAGGCTCCATCCCCTCTGCTCTGAAGGACAATCCGCAGCTGAGAGGGGAAGTGAGTGTACAGGAGGGGAAATTAAAGCCTGAAGCTAAAGAGTGCCAAGAAAGAACAGTGTGCGTGGGCAGTAGCGTGGATCAGACTGACTACGGGCATGTCTGGAAGCAGCAAGAGACTACTTTACGTACTAAAAAAAGCCACCATCACTAACTCCCTCTCGTTGAAAACAACAAAGCAGACAAAGACAAGCTCTTTTCAGACTTCTGTGTATATGGAACTTTAAGATAGGAAATACAAATTGGTTAAAATACTGCTAAGAATAGCACAAACAAGAAACATACTTCACTTATCACTTAATACAAGTTTCTACAGAAAAATATTGGTGAAACATCCAGATCTTGCAGTATTCCAAGTATATATACATCTGGTAGTCCAAAATTTACTTTTTTCTTGGATTTAATTTAAGCACCTTCATTACACAGTGTTTTTTACTACAAAACAAGCAAACATACATTCAGAACCCTAAACTATTTTCATAATTAGCATACTTTAAAGCATTCTATGTCAGACAGATGCATCCAAAGTTGGTTTTCTTTTCAAGATACGCAATCTGCGTTAGCTGGAGCAAACAGCTCCCTGCATTATTGTTCACACCTAATGCAACAACTTGATTTCTGCAGGTTATTTATTTAAATGCTTTCACTTTTATAAAATATTTAAAAAAAAAAAAAAAATAGGAAATTTGCACTTCAGTTTCTCATTCTCGAACTATGTTACTTCATGAACGTGTGCAGGACAACTTCCCAGCCCAAGCATTAGGCAAACCAAGCAGAAGTAAAGCATTACTGGAGCTTGTGCTCCCTAATGCAGAGGAGCTCCTTCAAGAGGTTCAGACTGGAGGCAGCCTGCGCTGTAGTGACCATGCCCTGGTTGAGTTCATGGTCTCGAGGAACATGGACCTGGAGAACAGCAGGTCTCTGAACTTCAGGAGAGCAAAATTCCAGCTTATCAAGGAATTACTGGATGAGATCCTCTGGGAAGCTGTCCTGGAGCGGGGGAGGGAGGGAAAGAACAAAACAGAGCTGTCAGCTCTCTAAGAATACGTTTCTGAGAGCAAAAGATCTCTCCATCCCCAAGTATAAGAAATCAAGCAGAGGAGGCAGGAAACTGGCATGGTAGTGCAAGGACCCGCTGGTCAAACTGAGGGAAAAGAAGGGAACGCAAAGGCAATGGAAGCAGGGACATGTGGCCTGGAAAGAACACAGGGATGCTGTCAGGATTTGCAGAGATGGGATCAGAAAAGCCAAGGCACGGCTGGAACTGCACTCGGCAAGGGATGTGAAAATTAACAAGAGGGGTACATAGGTCAGAAGAGACAGGCCAAGGAAACAGTATCTCCTTTGAATAATGAGAAGGGAGAACTGGTTACAACTGAGATGGAAAAGGCTGAGGTAATCAGTGAGTTCTTGGCCTGTTCACTGGCAGCCAGGCTTCCCGTGTCTCTCATATCTGTGCACCTTCACATCCCTGAGCCACTGGGCAGCAGCTGGGGGGCAAAAAATTCCTCCTGCTGTAAGAGAAGAGCAAGTTCAAGGCCACATGATGACACTGAACATGTACAGGTCCATGTGGCCAGATGACAAGCACCCCAGGGTCCGGAAGGAGCTGCATGATGTGGTTGCTGAGACACTCTCTGTCATATTTGAAAAGTCAAAGCTGTCAGGTGAAATCCCAGTGATTGGTGACCCATTTTTTAAGGATCAAAAGGAAGACTGAGGGGAATTAGAAGCTGGTGAGCCTTACAGCTGCGCCTGGGAAGATCATGCAACAGATCCTCCTGAAAGCTACGTTAAGGCACAGGCCAGAAAAGGAGGTGATCTGAAATAGCCAGCATGGCTTCAACAAGGGCAGACTGTGCCTGACCGATCTGGATGATGGAGTGACAGAATAAGTGAACAGGGAAAGACCAACACCTGGACTTCTGGAATACCTCTGACATGGTTCTTAACCACATCCTTATCTCTAAATTAAATACTGAAGGGTGGATTACATAGTGGATAAGGAATTGGCTGGATGGTCACAGCCAGATGGTTGCAGCCCACTGCTCTATGTCCAGCTGGAGGCCAGTCATGAGTGGCGTTCCCCAGGGATCCATCTTTGGATCGGTGCTCTTTAACATCTTTTTCAAAGGCCTGGATACTGGGATTGAGGGTACCCTCAGCACACGTGCTGATGACATCAAGCTGAGCAGTGCAGTTGGCACAACAGAAGGAACGGATGCCATCTAAAAGGACCTGAACAAGCTTGAGAACGGGGCCCATGTGAACCTAATGAGGTTCAACAAGGTCAAGTGCAAGATGCTGCACAACGATAGGGGCAATCCCAAGGACATATACAGACTGGGAGAAGAACTCCTTGAGAACAGCCTTGTGGAGAAGGACTTGGGCTCCTGGTGGACAGAAAGCTGGGCATGAGCCAGCAGAGTGTGCTTGCAGCCCAGATGGACAGCTGTATCCTGGGCTGCAGCAACAGTGGGACTGTCCCACTCTGCTCTGCCTTTGTGAGGCCCCAGCCAGAGTATTGTATTCAGGCCTGGGGCCCCCAGCACAAGACAAAGAGCAGGTGGAGTGGGTCCAGAGAAGGCCATGAAGGTACCAGAGGGCTGCAGAACCTCTCTGACAGAGAGGCTGAGAGCTGGGCTTGTTCAGCCTAGAAAAGAGAAGGCTCCAGAGAGATCTCATTGCAGCCTTCTAATACCTAGAGAGCCCTGCAGGAAACCTTGGAAGGGACTTTTCTTCAGGGAGTGTAATGGTAGGACATGGAGTAATGGCTTTACACTAAAAGAGAGTAGGTTTAGATTAAATATTAGGAAGAAAATTTTCACTATCAAGGGTAGTGAGGCACTGGAACAGGCTGCCCACAGAAGTTCTGGATGCCCCATTTGTGGAGGTTGGATGGGGCTCTGGGCAACCTGATCAAGTGGGTGGCAACCCTGCCCATGGCAAGGAGGTTGGAACTCGATGATCTTTAAGGTCCCTTCCAACTCATGCCATTCTATGATTCTGTGAGACAATTACACTCTCACTCCCTCCACCCCTCTGTTTTGCAACGGAAATTCGATGTAGGGACCGTATCCCCATTGAGCCCCAAGCCTGCATGTACATAACAATAATGTTTTATATATCTACAGACTTCTGAGGACCTCAAAGTTATTTGCTAAAAGTTGTCTAATCCTCACAACACCCCTGTGAGGTAGGTATGGTATTATCCCCAATTTATAGAATCAAGACTTTAGTGTGTGGCACAACCACACACAACTGTTCACAGACCTACGAAAGCAGCTTCTTAGCTTGAGCAAAATAGTGTTAATGCTCCTGCAGTGCTTCAGGGAGTTAAGAGTTTGTACTGGCACTCTCATTCAGGCTGGGAGGTGCAAGCAGTTAAAGCAAAGTGCTGGGTAGGTTGCTACTCTGCCACCTCAGGCAGGTTGTTTTGGAATGTTTATAAAGGTGGCTGGACTGGCTGAACCGTTTGCCACACTTCAGGCAGGCATAAGGCTTTTCTCCTGTGTGCACACGGATGTGTTTCTTACAGTCTGTTAAGGTCAAAAAAGTCTTGCAGCAGATCTTACATGCATATTTGCGTGCACCTTCTACAACCAAGACATTGTGCTCAGATAAGGCTTTCTTGCATTTTGAAAGAACATCTGCAGATGCCCGCGTCAACTGTGGAGGACCAGGTTGTGAAGGATGCCCATTTTCAAAAGAAGTGGTCCCATTGATGATCAGCTGGGAACTAGGCGAGTTATCCTGCAGCTGGGAGCTCCTGACAGAGGTTACAACAGGCATTTTGGGGGCTATGCGGCGGTAGCCAGGAAAGCTACTGGCTCCCCCTCTTACAGAGCCTATCATTGCCCTTGACAGAGAATGCAGGCCCAAGCCTGACCTTGGAAAGTCCATACCAAACTGTTCTGCAGCCCGGTACCCAGAAGTCTGTACACAGGGAAGACCCATCACATCCTGCATTGGTCTAACAAAATGGGATTCTGCAGGCTCACTGAAGGGATTCTCAACATGAGAGACTGTGGCAGATGAATGACCACCAGCAGGCCCTGCCTCTGGACCCATCAGGAAAGAAGCATCACTGTCCATTCTACAGTCACTCGTTGTATTTGGAATGTTGTCATCAGTAGTTTGACTAGCACCATAGCTGCCACCTCTGCCTTTATTCAGAAAATTTGAGATACTGAAAGTAGACTTGTGTTCCAGATTATTTGACACCTCCATAATATGGATATCTCCTACCCTATCTGTAGTAGACTGCGGATCAGAAAAGCTACGATCGCTGCTCTCAGGACTCAGCTCTATCTTCTCTGCACTCACAACTCCTCCTTCCACTTCAACAGACTCGCTGCCTTCTGCTTGGGAAGTGACATCACTCACCTCATCCTGAGGCTCCGGGGAACTCAAGGGCTCAGATTTAACCACCACCCTCATGTGCTCTTTTTCATTTATGCTGACCTCCGGATTGTCACACGGGAAGTTGTTTTTCTCAGATGCAGCCTCCTGGTCAAAGCTGGTTTCCACTTGCGTTGCCTGTGATGCCATGGACATCTGTGAAATATTTCCTCCACTGTTGTCAGACTGGCTGGGCACTTGAGTATCTTCCTGAGCACTGAAAGACTGATCAAACATAATATTATTATCCTCCTGGTTATCAGTGACAGCATCAGCCTTAGAGTTGTCCACTATCTTCAGTGGATCTGGTGAAAAGAAATCTTCCCGTGAATGAACAACTGACTGCCCGCTCTCTGCAGCCACGTCAGAAACAGTCTCATCTATGGCAGGCCTCATTCGCTGCCTGGCCCGATCTTCAGAAGACTGTTTACGCTTGTGGAGACGGCGAATAGGAAAAGCAGAGCGCTGCTCTATGTTGCTTCTCATCGTGGAACTCATAGTGCTTGGTTGTTCCTCTGAGCTCTGAGTGGAATTCAACGCAGAGCTCACAATGCTCAGCCCGAGCTGCTGAAGCATGAACGACCTTTGAATGCGTGCATTTTGCTCTTGAACCCTATCACTGGGTGGAGACATCGGCAGTGTCCTGGTAGTAAGGTAGTGTTTGCATGCTTTAACAACAGAGTTCAAATGCAAGTGAGATGCAGCCAACAAGATATCCATAACATTGCTCTCTCCAAGCATAAGTGTGGAAGTGTACATCATGTCTATGAGGGCAGCAAAAGCTTCTGCTGTCACCACTTCACTATCCAGCTGAATCATATTCATGGTTTGATCTCCTTCTGCTACAGTGAAGAGAGCTCGGAAATGTGTACTGCATGCTGCTAAAACAGAGCGATGGGCTTTGAAATGCCTGTTTCCCACCACAATGACGCAGTCACAAAGTTGGCCATGAAGTCTCTGGTAGTTGAGCTGCTGAAAGATTTGCTCAAAGTGTCCCGGAAAATCCATGATCCTATAAAACAGAAGAGAAGAGACTATAATATTAAAAATGGCTGAGGTTCTATTTAAATCACAGTGGGACTGGGTTTTAAAATGAAAGATGATGGCTAAAGGGCAGATGAACAGTAACCAATTCATCAACTGCCACGTTGTTGCTGTATCAGAACTAGCAATCTCCCAAAGGAACACGTGGGAGAGAAAAACAGACTGCCATGGAGCTAACAGCACAACAGCTACCCCAGTGCCAGACTTGTCGTGGGCAGCTCCACTGCAAACTGCATAGTGCCATTCATCCTCCTGTTAACTGTCCACACTATAAGATATTCTTCAGTAAAATATTTAGTCCTGGTCTAATTAAAAAAAGAAAAAAAAATAAAAAAAACCTGTAATCATTAGGTCACGCAAAATCTGACAAAGCACCCCTTGCTTCCCACCTGTCAGACTGGAAAAAAACATCAAGTTGATGTTCCCAAGCCAAAGATGCAGCTGTACTCACCTGCCTACCAATTCTCCAAGGCACACAACACACACTTCACAGGTATGAGCCTAAGGAAGATTTCACCATGTGCTGCACTAGACTAGGAACCCTTCTCCCTGACAAAAAAAAATGGAGTTTTATGTAAACACAGAAAAGCAGGAATTCCTGCCAGCAGAAGTCAGAGATGGTTGAGAAGCATTTGCCTCAGACCTTAATCGGTTCCTAGGTATTTTAAAAGCTGTAGGAAATTGCATTTTCTGCCTTCCAACAACGCTGAGGGTCCAGCCTTACTGAGGCATCAAAAATCCCTTAATTCAGCAACACAAAGGCTACGACATCTGAATGCCTGAAGTAAGCAGTGTAATGAGATTAAATAAGTACTCTGTCAATCTCCCTTATCCCTGTAGATTAAGATATGTAATAAAATAGAAGAGTTTGAAACAAAACTTTTTTTTTTTTTTTTTTTTTTTTTTTTTTTTAAGATGCAATAATACAGGTAAGAAGTTATTTTAGTTCTCTCTCACTACAAATGTATGTTTGAAAGTAAAGCAGGGCATCTTCAAACAAAAATGGTATCAGGACAGAAAGATTTTAGAATTGCACAGCTTTTATTTCTGCACATTTTCCCTAAGAGAAGTGTAACACATGGGAAAGTGAGGAAATCCTTTCTGTATTCTTTCAGAATGACAGAGGAACCAGGCAGCAGACCCTGAAACTCAATGACTTCAAGCAACAAGACAAAAGGATCATAGAGGGAATGCAAAAAGAGCTACAAGCCCCAGTAGGCAGAATATGAAATTCTGTAGAGGACACTGCTGCTCTAGTAACCAATGCTGCTAAACAGCTGTCTGCCTTCACATGTCAAGATAAACTAATGGCCTGATTTGTTCCATCCACCACCATGCTGTGACTTCCTCCTCTGTAGCCTGGAGGCAGTCTTCTCTGGAAAGTCCAAAATGGACTGCTAAACATCTCCTTATTTGTCTTCTTTGCTTGCTTCTGAGATGGGCTGGGTGTTACACCAGAGAGAACACACTGTCCATGGCTTCAGGAATTAAAAGCAAGGTCTACGGAGAGTTTAGGAAGAGGAGGAGAAGCAGGCAAAGAGGCCCTGCAATTGCCCCAGCACCAAAGAAATTATTTCTCCCTCTCCCTGTAGACCATCATCACTGTTGTATCTGCTTACGCTTGAGGGACCTGGATCTTGGTCAACTCCCTTTCAACTAATTCCCCCTCCAGTCAGGAGTACAAGCTTCAGGGAACCATTTAACATACAAGGATGGCCTGCACAGTGTCCAGTGCTGTGGTCTGTAGACAAGAGACCATAGACAACACCAGGAAGCTACCAGCACAAGACACGGAAGCTCCTTCTCCTAAAGGCTGGAATGAACACTGCTTTTCAGCTACAACAGCCTTACAAAATGTGTCAGCACTGAACCATAACCACCACCTCCTGCAAAGGCAGCCAAGGCAGGAGAGTGTGCTGCACCTGCAACTGAAAAAGACCTTGTTCTTGTTGCACCTTCACTGCTGACACACAGAAGTGCAGGACCCAGCAACAACTGCTTCGTTTTCCAGGGTCACCAGGAGCAAAACAGCACAGGCAGCCAAGCACTCCCCAGTCTGCGTACGTTATTTCAGGTCATTTTACAGAGCTTCAGGCACTGCAATAGATATGAAACACTGAGAGCTCACGCTTTGCCTGTAACAAACCAGTCTGAGGAAACAGCATCCTTCTCCAGATTGGGCAATAATGCACTCAAACCGATGTGCAGTGCAGACTGGTTGGAAAAAGAAAAGTAACACATTTGAGCCAGAGATGATGGGAAAGAGCTGCTGGTTTTGACCAATGGCCAAAAATGGGATTTCAGATAGAGAAAACGTTCCTGCTTAAAGCCACCAAGAAATGACTGAGCGTTCTGTGTACCTGGAACAAGATAACCACCAGCTGTGCTTCAAGTAGTGCTAATCTGGCTTCGTATTTTTTTATTACACCATAAGGGCTAAAGTCCTCAAACCAAAATCTACAAGCACAGACCCCACAGAGCACTTGAGGTCTTGCACAAGATTCATTTGAAAAGCAGAAAGCTAAATTTGAGTCATAATATATTAAATACAATACACATATAGTATGGCGTGAGATATGGATTACTTCAGATTAGTAAATATTAGTAAATATTAGTAAATAAGTATCTAAGTCAACACCAAAATATTTCTGATTGGTCTATTTCTGGCATACACCGTCCCGTGGTCTCAGTAAGACCTCAACTTTCAGCAAAACCTGGCCATAATGACTCTCCTGAAGCACTCATGGGCAGCACATCCTATTCATTCCACTCCAGAACAACTCCAAGCACTTCCACATCTCCGTACAGATACCAACTCAAGCCATTCCATGATTCTACAATTCCAAGATTCTATGACTGAGTCAGGTATCCCATCAATTTCTATTCAGATTTAGGACATGGATGCTTCTGACTATGAAAAATGGATTCAGCAGTCAGTTTCTGCAGCTTTCATGAAGCTCACATAGACAGCTTCCAATTCACTTCCTAGGGACCCAGGAATGTTAGATGAATGTTACTGCTTAATCACATTTCTAGAATCATATCATAGAATCAAAGAACTGATTCTGTAACTCTTTGAAAAGGTAGAAAACTGCAGGAAGAGGGGAAATGGTTTTAAGTTGAGGGACGGGAGATTTAGGTTGGAGATCGGGGGAAATTCTTTACAGAGAGAGTGGTGAGGCACTGGAACAGGCTGCCCAGAGAGGCTGTGGATGCCCCGTCCCTGGAAGTGTTCAAGGCCAGATCGGATGTGGCCCTGGGCAGCCTGGTCTAACAGTAAATTAGGAGGTTCGTGGCCCTGCACATGGCAGGGAGGGATGGAGATTCATGATCCTTGAGGTCCCTTCCAACCCTGGCCATTCTGTGATTCTGTAATGGTTTGGGTTGGAAGGGACCTTTAAGATCATCCAGCTCCAACACGCTGCTAGAGGCACTAATACTCCCCTGGGCAGCCTGTACCAGTCAGTGGTCCACCATCCTCAAAGGAAATAATTTCTTTCAAATATCTAGTCTGAATCTACTCTCTTTAAACTATTGTTCCTTCTACTATCAATTCCCTCCTGACAGTGTCCCTCTCTAGCTCTTCTGGGTGACAGCATCCAGCAAGAGTTTTCGATTTAACAGTGTGTGATGTCACCAGGCAATGGATGTGACCTCACGGCCCTCCACTGCATAGACTGAGTCATGGCAGAGCCTGGCCCAACTGAGCTTGTACCTGGCCTCTGGCTGAGTGTGAGGCATGTAGACCTAGTGAGACTTTCTTGGGTTGTGCTGTGTGCCTCTAGCAGATGTGCCCATCCCCACAGCATCACCTGTGTCTCACCAGCCCTGCCTGGCTCAGGCAGCCAGGACTCACAGAGTGTACTCAAGGTAGTGGAGGTGAGTGCTTCCAATCTCCCTGCCATGGGCTGTTTGTGTCCCACCAGACAAGGCTGTCCATGGCCCCATCCACTCCACCCTTTCAGCTTAAAGCCATTACTCCTTGTCCTACCATTACAGTCTCTGCAAAAGAGTCAAACTCAGCTTTCCTGTAGAGCCCTCTAGGTACTGGAAGGCAACAGCAAAGTATCCCCTGAGCCTCCCCTTCTCCAGTCTGAACAAACCCAGCTCCTTCAGCCTTTCACTGCAGGAGAAGTGCTCAACCCTCTGATCGTCTTCGAGGCCCTCCTCTGGGCCTGCTCCAACAGCTCAGCATCCTTCCTGTGCTGGGGGCCCCAGTTCTGGATGTAGTCCTCCAGATAGGACCTCAGAAGGGCAGAGCAGAGGGGGACAGTGCCCTCCCTGCCTTGTTGCCACCCCTCTGTTGCTGCAGCCCAGAATACAGCAGGCTGTCTGGGCTGCAAGCACACACTGCTGGCTCATGCCCAACTTTCCGCCCACCAGAATACCCAACTCATCTGCAGGGCTGCTCTTAATCAGTTAATTGCCTAGACTTTATTCATGTCTGTGATTACCCTGACCCAGGGGCACCACTTTGATATATATACTTGAAATACACAATTAAAAGCTAGACCAAGAGCTTGGGTTTTTCTTTGTTTGTTTGCTTGTTTTTTCCATCGTATAAACTAAGGATATTTGCATCTCTGAACCCATTCACAAAAAAATTACGTATGTAGGTGCTTTTGTTATTCTAAAGTGCCAAACCTGCAGGAATTCCTAGAAGCAAGCCAATACTTGAAAGTGTGCCAATAACTGTTGACCAGTTAGCCTAAATTACATTTTACAAAACATTACCATGGAGTTGTACTGTGTTTAGCCAATGTGTTACAATTAAAGCTTCTCTGAAAAGGCTTTTGCGAAGTCTGAAACACAAATCTAAATCTACACAGGAATGACTGGTAACAGCAGTTAGCCCTCCATGGGCAGTTATGCTTTTTGAATAAAAATAAGAAAATCAAACGGCTAGACAGTAGTAAATTAGAGACACAAAGAAATGGAAACCCCGAATTTCTTCAAGATTTTGAGCAAGTTTGATCACTTTGAAGCATGACTCACTCTCTGACCTAATGGCATTTTCAAACTATGGAAAAAGTGGATCGTTATTTAGCAGTAGCTTAAATGAATTCTGGGCTTGTTCTGTACAACTAAAGTAGACATCAGTGTTACACTGCCTTCCTGTCAGCACCAATATGCTAAATGCCTGCCATGAAAAGCATTCTTTGTGTGTGAAAATGACACAGAAAAACATCAGCAATTAACAACCCTGATGACTGACAATTTAACTCAGAGCAGCTCATTTGAAGTTTTTGCTTTGCCAGGTGTTATACACTGTTCATCTCACAGCATTTGTCTCCATACAATCAGGGAGGATGAATTACCACTTGCCTGAGAATCAGAAAACTGCACTGCAAAAGCTGCTGCTGATTGCACCCACCTTCCAGAGAAGAGATTACTTTATAATGTCATATTCTCTCATCATTTGAAAAGTATTAAAAACCCATACTGCAACCTATGGTAATACTAGCCTATCAATAAGCAGTACCAGCCTAGCCTTGTCAGCTGCAAAGTGCAACTCTAAATGGACCACCTGAAAGCTTTCTAAAAAAATGCTACATATTTCTTAGACACTCTTGATTATCTGGAAGAACTAACAGCATCCTGATGGCAGGACATGAAAGCTGCTTGCTCATGGTTTTCTTCACCACATCCTAGCTCTGTGATGCACATTCTGGTCTCTAGATCCTACAGCACATGATCACACTTCAGTAGAACGCACAGTAAGAGAACAGAATGTGGCTGTGCTCTGATATCCTATCTACCAGGAAGGCCGTGTCCTCCTTAGAACACATACTGCTGCACAGGCAGTGCAACAAACCTCTCAACAGACTAAACAATATTTCTTTCAGATTACTGCTCCAGCTACAAGGTCAGTACCACAGACTTAAGGACAACAGTTTCTTTAAAAGTTACAAAAGCAAGGTTCCAGGAAATCAATAAAGAAGAAGAAAATTCTTCTTTACTTTTTTACTTTACTGATTCTACTTTTGGTCTTTGGTCTAGGAAGCTAGAAAACTGTATCAAGATATGAGAAAACAACTGTTGGGAACAACACAAAGGCTTTGTAGGAATAACACAATGACACACTTTAACAAAACTGTATCACCAGTATCATTAGTTGATTTTTTCACACAGGGGACAGCAGGGAAGACTGCTGCACAAAACTGGCAACAATGCCATGTAGGTATGGAAAGATAAATTACCATCAGTGAGAATCTAACTCACAGTTACCAGCTCAGGCAACCTTCCTCCTGGTTCATGATTCTGTGGCAGCATGTACCAGGAACCACCCTGCTCTCAGAAGAATGGCCACAGAAAAAGAAACTCGGTTGCCACTTTCTCCACACATGAGAATTACAAATAATGGGCAGAATCAAAGAGCTGCACAGAAGCACCAAAGGTAAAAGCAGGCACAAACAGCTCAGCATCATCATTACATCTGCTTGCTCAGTGTGATGATTTTAATGCTAGCTCCTCCAGTTCATTATTTACATTATTGGAAGTTTTTAAACAAATTCTGCCCAACTCCCCCGATGATTCTCACATTGCCTTTGTGAAAGGCTTTAAACAAACACTTGGTAGAAACTAGTTTCAATTGCTAAAGAAAACTGGTTTTGCCAAGGAAGTGTTTGTGTAGACTCTTCATCACCTCCATGAAGGCTGCCTTAGTATCTTCTCTTCAACCTACGAAAGTAACTATATCCACATAACAACCAATGGATTTTATGTGAGAACGGCTGAATTATCTGCTTACTGTTTTCCAAAACTCACTTAAAAAACTCTAACCATGTCATTCCACTTACAGAAGGAAGTCAGTCTACACGAATCACTTACAAGGCTCCATGTATATTATGACTGCTGTTCCAAAAATAAGGCCTTCTATTTTACTGTGTTGGCCCAGAACATCACAGGTGGATGTTGGTGGGATGGCAGCACAGATTGAACCTTCACACCAACATTCTGTTACAGCCACGTGACAGGTGGCAGTCTGACAAAATGGCACCTGACATGGAAGTGCATATGAAGCAGAAATGTACTGCTGAATTCCTCCATACAGAACAAACAGCACACAATGGCATCCATCAACACTTACTGAACTTTTAGGGAGATCAAAGAGCGGGTGTTAGCACAGTGAGGTGACGGGTGGTGCGTTTCAGCAGTGGTGACATCTGTCACCTCCACTGGTGCAGATTTACATGAGGGTGGCATGCGGGCCGCTGCTCATCACTGGTGAGAATGATTTGCTAATGGTGGTGACTGTGCTGAAAAATGTTTGGTAACGGAGCATTTGCTCTACCAAACCAAAGTGATTTATCTGTTGTAGTTTCCACAGCAATAAGAAGGAGGCATTACTTTCAGAGCAACCTATGTAGCACATATGACGATGTGAAATGGAAATATTTTATTTAAATCACAATTGCCACGATTTGCAGGTGTGGATGCTGAATTAAACTCCTTCTGAACAATTCTGAAAGGGCAGAGGAAGAAATTAAGCACATCCAGTCAGCTCCAAGACAGAACTGCATGCTGTGCTTAACACAGACATCAGTGCCGACTGACTGTTCTCCTGTAACAGACAGGCTTACAGCACAGTGCCACGGCAGCAGAATAGCTCCCAGCTTATCCACCGCATGGGTCTGTCAGCATGAGACAACCCATCAGCTGTGAGGTGGCTGTAACCGACGCCCCACGCCGTTAGCCAAAACGCCAGGTAGGGAAAGAGCTGCCGTGTGCTATCAATGCAGTCAGCACCTCCCACCCAAGCACCGTCCCCCACACCACGGCTACGACAAGCAACGCAGTAACTACACAAAAGTGAGACAGGAAGGCCTGCTGTCTCACACGCCACCTCGGGATACGTTTCCCCACGGTCCAGGCCGTCAAGACGGACTCCGGGCGAGGGACGCCTGCTGTCCGCAGATGGCTCCCGCACACGCCGAGGCTGCACGCCAGGAGACCCTTACGTTCCCCCCACCGGTTAAAACATCCGAGCGCTCCCTCCCTCCGAGGACCGCTCCCGCGCACCGCCGCCGTTACAAACCCAAACAGCCCCGGCTCCAGGCTCCACCTCCAGCGCCGGTAACGCGATGCTTGCAGCGGGGCCGGGCCGGACACCGGCAGTCCGCAGAAAGCCCCAGCGGCGGGAGTTCCCGCGGACGGCAGCCCGGTCCTGCTCCAACCTCACCGTCAGCGCGGGCCCTGCGCGCACCCAACCCGCCGCGCGCCGACTCTCGTCCGGAGGCGGAGCCGCGCCCGGCGCACGCGCCTGGGCCCCGCCGCCCCGCCCCGCCCCGCGCGCCACCGCCCCGCGCGCCCAGCTGCTCCCCCTCTCCGCCTCTCGCCGGCACCCCGCTCACCCGCGATCCCCGCCCCCAGCCGCTGCCTCTGCGCGGCGTGCGGGAAGGGGAGCGGCGGCGCGGCGGGAAGGGCCGGACGTGGCCCTGCTCCTCGGCCCTGCGGCCTCGTAGTCCGCTCCCGTGACTCCACCCCCACTCCCACCCTTGCGCCGCGTCGGCCGGAAATGACGCTCGCGCGCCGCTTTCAACCGGAAGTGTTGCCACTTCACCGCGTCGGCCGGAAGTGACGCCATCGCTCCGCGACGGCAGCCAATGAGCAGCGCCGGCACTCGAGCTGTGCGGTGAGGCGTGCGGAGAGCGAGCTGTGCGCGGTACTGCGGGTACTGCGCTATGGCCGCCGCCACGTGGTGCTACCGCGGAGATCCCGAGGAGGAACAGCCGGCGCTGCTGGGTGAGGAGGGCGCCGGGCCGGGAGGCGGGGCAGGCGGTGGGGCAAGGCTCACGGCCTGTTTTTCCGCCCGCAGTGACGTTCTCTAATGGGCAGCTGCAGCGGCCCGACGCCGTGCGTTTCTCCCTCTACCGGAGCAGCGATGTGGCCAACGCCCGGAAGAAGAGGCGGAGGATCCTGGTAAGGCCTGCTGGTCTGGGCGGCCCCGTCGGCAGCACCACGTGCCTTCTCAGGGATCTGATCGGCACGCAGCAGAGCGTTGTTAATTCCTGCGGCTGCCCGCATGCGTGGCGCAGTGGATGAATAAATGATTTCTCAGCCAAAATCCTCAGGGGAAATGTCCTACGCCCGAGTAGAGACGCAAATACTTAAAAATGTGTCTATGTCTGAGCCGTTTGTGCTACCTCTGTTTTCAGCTAGTTAATCATAGCCACCAGATGATACAAAGGTTTTGAATGTAGCATGAAAAACTATACTGTAAACTGAGTTCCCCTGCCTTGTAATGATGGCTTTCCACAGTTCTTTGTCCTTTGGCTCATTTTGACATCCGTAAGGCTTGTTTTGTAGACTTAGAGAAGCTTTGAGTAACTGTATTAAGCAACCTGAAGCATTGCAGGTAAGATCTGAAGCTGACTGGGAGAGAATGCTCTTCTCTACTGACTCTTTCACAGACTGCTTTTACTACTTCAAAGTGTGGTGACTGTGGCAATGTCAAGTATTGTGTCACCAGAGAGAATAAAGTGCATGTGGGGAAATATGCACTTTCAAATGATGCACTCTTCAAGTAGTTTTCCGTTGTTTTTCAGGTTTCAGAAACTGAAAGGCTTTCATACGTGGGAAATAACTTCAGCAGTGGAGCTATGAAATGTAACTCCCTATGCAGGTATGGGTAGCTGGCAACTCTGTGGCAGAAACAGGGAGGTGAAGGCAGAGGAACTGCACAAATAAAATATTTTTTGTAGCCTTCTGTGAAGCTGGCTGATGAGTTCTCGTTGAGATCATGGTGTGAATGCAGAGGATTTGGGCAGTAGACAAAAGCTCCTGGCAGCTGCACCATTTGCACTTGTTATTTCCTGTTTCTTATACATAAGTGGAGTGTAGCTCTGCTGGAGGAAAAGGAGAGAAGGTTTCTGCGCATAGCTGAAACCTAGGGACAGCAGCTTCATTCCTTCTTAATTGTGAAGATCAGCATCTTTTAGTCAGGAACCCAGTGGGTTATTAGTCACCATTTAACTTCAGGCCACAGTACAGTGGTGCTGTATGAATTAGTAATTTGTCTGTGCCTATTGCTGTAATGGGAAGCTTCAGTGAAATCACCTATTTTCACATGTCCTGATTTAAGAAGGTGATTTCTGTAGCTTTGAGGCAAATCCCATGAATTCCTAAGAATTATTTTGTATGGGAGATCTTTCTCATCCTCTGGTAGAAAAACTTCTTGAGTAGGTAGAAAACCAATGTAAAATCATCTTACTTTGTTATATCTAACCTGCAAAGTTGTGAAATGCATATGACGTGTGTCAAGCTCCTGTTAGCAAATGCTGTACCCTGTGAATGTGCTCCATTTGTCCTGCACTGTTTGCTCATGGTTTATCTCTACTCTGATTCTTAAAGTGGGGTGACACAATGAAGAGTAAACAGAATTGCAAAAACTCTTAAGGGGAGGTGCTTCCAGCCATTTAATGTCCTTGTGCTCATTCTTCTGAAAGTGTCATGATATGGATTATTACATATTTCTCTTCAAATTAAAAATATGTGGTGAGCTGTTCAGTGGGCGAAGAACAGGCTGCAAAATCAAGTCCAGAGAGAGGTGGTCAATGGCTTTGTGTCTGAATGGAGATCAGTGACTCCCACAGGAGTCAGTGATGGGACCAATAGTCCTTAATGTCTTAATCAGTGACAATGATAGTGGAGTTGAGTGCACCCTCAGCAAGTTTGCTGATGGCACCAACCTGTGGGTTGCAGTCAACACACCAGAAGGATGGGATGCCATTCAGAGGGACCTAGACAGGCTTGAGCAGTGGGCCCAGGTGAACCTTGTGAGGTTCAACAAATCCAAATGCAAGATCTAGCACCTGGCTTGAGGCAACCCTAACTACTAATACAAGCTGGGGTATGAAAGGATTGAATGCAGCCCTTTTGAAAATGTGCTGGGAGTACTAGTGGGTGGGAAGCTGGACATGAGCTAGCAATGTGCCCTCTCAGCCCAGAAAGCCAACTACATTCTGAGTTGCATCAAAAGAAATGTGGCCAGCAGGGTGAGGGGGGTGATCCTGCCCCTCTACTCTGTGCTGGTGAGAGCTCACTTGGAGTGTTGTGTCCAAATGTGGAGTCCTCAGTACAGGAGAGACATGGACCTGTTGGAACACATCCAGAAGTGGGACACAAAAATGATGCTAAGGGGTAGAACAGCTCTCCTATGAGGAGCTGAGAACTGAGTCTGTACAGCCTGGAGAAGAGATAGCTCTGATGTGACCTGATATCTAAAGCAGAGCTATGGGGAAGAAGGGGACAGACTCTTCAGCAGGGTCTCTGGTGACAGAACAAGGGAAATGGCTTCAAGCTTAAAGAGGGTAGATTTAGGTTGGATATAAGGCACTGGAAGAGGTTGCCCAGAGATGTGGTTGATGCCCCACCTCTGGAGACCTTCAGAATGAAGCTGGATCAAGTCCTGGACAGCACAGTGGATGTGTGGTGTCCCTGTGCATTGCAGGGGAGTTGGACTCAATGACCTTTAAAGGTCCCTTCCTTTTTCTAAGGATTCTATGATTCTGTGGTGAGGAGCAGCACAGACTATTTGGGTTTGCTCCTCTGAAGTCTGAAATGAAAAAGATTTGACTTGATTGAAATTAACCTGTTTTCGAGGTGGCACATTCATTTTTCTCAGCTCTGAGTCTGTCACTGGTAATCATTTGCACCTGTTCTCCCCAGGTATTTTCTTGGTGTTTTAAACAAGGATTCTGGACAAATGGAAGTCTTTAATGCTGAAATATTCAACATGCAACCCTTACTATCAGGTAGGACTATTCTGTATTTAACCCTGGTGCCGAGGTCACAGAATCCTGGAAATATGTATGCATTCAGCAGTTAACTAATTGGCTACTGACAGCATTGCCCTCTGTTTCCTCCTACTCTTATTCCCTCATTTCTGCTGTACTGTCTTAGAATGAGGGAAGATGCATCACTCTCGCTGCACCTGGAGAACAGCATGGCATGAACAAAGGGAGAAGGAAGCAAGATCATAGCTGAAATTCAGGAAGGGGTCAAGTACAGAATTCAGGGGTGGGAGGGTGGAAATATCAGGTTTAGAAATAAAGTTGTCACTGCTTAGAATAATTGCAGCCTTCTCTTGCTGAGGGAAGCTTGGAAATAATGAAGTCATCAGACTGAATCATTTGATTGAAAAAAAAAAAAAAAAAAGAGCAGCTTTTCCCCAGCAGAACTGCTTTTTATTACTGAATGTAGTTGAAATAATCCTAAGAATATGATCTTTAAGGATCTGCTTTCTTTTGTGGGCAACAGGAGTTTAGTATTGCTGCAATCTGTGCATTATGCTTTTAGATTTTGTAGCAAAAATTGTTCTGCCTTTTCCCTTTTTTTTCAGGTATGTAATCTTTTATATTCAGTGTATTCTTTTATTAACAAAATCCTGTAGGGAAGACCCTGGAGTGGTATTTCTAGTTCTTCTGTAATGTATTAGTTCTAAAGGGGTACCAAATACATGCACTTTCCTGCCTGCTGCAAGCCAAGCATACTAATTTTTATTCTTTTGTAGATAACTTAATTCCTGATGACACAAGGGATTATCAGAATAAATCCTACAGGGAAAAGGTAAAGTTAAAACCCGATATCATAATCTGCTATAGTTATCCAGCAGACAGTGGTAGGTTCTTGTCTGAGGTTGAGATGTTTGATTTGTTGCAGAACAAACTTTGCAGGGTCAGCGCTTTATCTATCTGCTGAAAGTTTTTGAGACAGCATGTTATTAGTGTCTAGCTTAGCAGTATTTTCCTAACTACTTCAGGCTTGTCCACAGTCCCAGGTAAAACATGCCCTCTTGCACTTTTTGTAGTATGCTTGGGTTGTACCCAGTGGTGTGTTTGAGATTACTTAAAAAATGTAGATATAGAACAAGCAATGGCTATCTGCGTATTCTTCTTTCATGCAAAGTGTCTTGAATTCAGCAGTGTGTTGTCACTTGCTTCTCTGTTATGCACAGGTGGATTTGTGCATTGAGGCTTTTGGTACCAGCAAGCAGAAGCGAGCTCTGAACTCTCGGCGAATGAATGCAGTGGGCAATGATATTCTCAATACAGCTGTGACAAAAGCAGCAGCAGATGTTATAGATGCAAAGGGGGTAACAGGTAAGAATGTTGTCTAAGATGTTGGTGAAGGCAATCAGAATTACCCTCTTCCTGTCCATTCCTTGCCAAATATGGCAGGAAGAAGAAAAGTGTTTTCCTTGAGTAAGAAGGTAGGTGGTTGGTTTAACTGCTGAGATGGGCACATGTTGAGGAACTTGCCAATTTTTATTGGAAAAGGGGCTGCTTTTCTATCTGGCTATGCTTAGTGCGGACATTGCATGGGTAAGGGAAAGCTCCTGTGTTATCAATGTCCATCTGCCCATTTTTGTTGGTGTTCTAGAAGTCCATGGGCATTACTCTACCAAAATAAATGTGGTAAATTCACCTGGCTTGAAAAGGGTCAATGAATTGTTTGTTCATTAAGGTCTTCAGAATGTATGGAAAATGGCCTAAGCAGTATCTTATGACTTAAGCAGTATCACAGCACTTTGAGTTTGGTTAGTCTGGTAAAGAGGAGGCACAGGGAAACTAGCAACAGTCTACAGCTATCTGAAAGGGCAGTCAGAGCCTAGCCTTTCCCAGCAGTGTAAGGCTTTACAGAAAGTGTTAGCAGCAGAAGTTGCAGTGATCTCCAGACAGA